GATTTAGCTCAGCCACAAAAGCGCCTGCCTGGCAAGCGCAAGGTCATGAGTTCGGTTCCCGGTACTGGAGAAAAACCAAAACCAAAAAAAAAAAAAAAAATGTAAAGCTATCCTTTGCTCTTGGGCAGGAAGAATCAATATAGTGAAAATGGCCATACTTCCAAAGTCATTATACAGATTTAATGCAATTCCAATCAAAATAGCAATAGCATATCTCAGAGAATTAGAGAAAACATTCCTAAAATTCATTTGGAATCAGAAGAGACCTACAATAGCATAAGCAATTATGGACAACAAAGGCAAGGCAGGCAGTATCACAATCCCTGACTTGAAATTATACTACCAAGCTACTGTGATAAAAACAGCACGGGAGGGCTGGGGATATAACTCAGCAGCACAAGCGCCTGCCTGGCAACTGCAAGGCCCCGAGTTCGATTCCCAATACCAAAAAAAAAACAAAAAAAAAAAAACAAAAAAACAGCAGGGTACTGAGTGGGGGGAAAAAACAGATTCCAAGAATATGAGACAGATTAGAAAATCCAGAAAGAACTCCAAACATAGTCAGCCATGTTATCTTTGACAAAAAAGCCAAATACCTTCAGTGGAAGAAAGCCTACTTAATAAATAGGGCTGGAAAAACTAGTTTTCCACATGCTGAAGATTAAAACTAGACCCATATCTTTCACCATGCACTAAACTAAAATCAAAATGAATCAAGGATCTACATATTAAAACAGAAACACCCTATTTGCTGAAAGATAGAATAGATAGACTTCTTGAAGACATTGGTGTAGGCAAAGACTTTATGAACAAAATCCCAACCATATAGGAAATATCACAAAGAATCAACAACTGGAGTCTCATTAAAAAGCTTTTGCACAGCAATAGAAATAATCAACAGAGTGAAAAGACAACCCATAGTTGTGTAAAAAAAATTTGCCAGCTGTTCCTCAGACTAATATCTAGATTATATAAAGAACTCATAAAAGTCAAACCTCCTCTCCAAATTTAAAGGTCAATCCAAAAATGGGCATCTGAAATGCACACATCTTAGATCAAGTACAAATAGCAAATAATTATATGAAAAAATGCTCAACATGACTAGTCATTCAAGAGATGCAAATTAAAACAACCCTGAGATTCCATCTCACCCCAGAAAGAATGGCTATTATCAAAAAATTACCAATAACAAATGCTGGCAGGGTTGTGGGAGAAAAGGAACCCTCTACACTATTGGTGAGAGTGCAGGCTGCTACAACCACTGTGTGGAGATTCCCAAAAAAACTAGGATTAGAGGTTCCATTTGACCCAACTATTCCCCTTCTTGGTATCTTCCCAAAAGAACTGAAAGCATCATACCATAGTTATATATGCACACCCATGTTTATAGCAGCACACTTTGCAAAGTGAAATCTTGGAAACAGTCCAAATGCCCATCATCCAATGAGTAGCTAAAGATGATATGGGTTGGGCCGGGGATATAGTGGCACAAGCGCCTGCCTGGCAAGCACAAGGTCCTGAGTTCGATTCTCGGTACCAAAAAAAAAAAAGAGTAGGGAAGAAGATATGGGTTTTTTTAGACAATGGAGTACTACTCTGCCATAAAGAAGAAGCTTGAGACATTTATAGCTAAATGAATACACCTTGAGACCATACTCTTAAGTGAAATAAATCAGATATACATATTTAAATATCACATTATTTTTCTGGTGTGAGAATTGAAAGTGTAAATAAGGACCAAAATGTATAACTGATATTGAGAAATGGAAAAAAATATTCAAATGAGAAGGGAAACAAGGAACGGGGTGAGGGAAAAAGGAAAGAAGGGAAAAGAAAAGAAGGAAAAAGTCAAAACAAAGCTTTTATAAATCAGGAGGGGAAGAGTGATTGAAGGGAGGGGAGGGGAATGGGAAAAGAAGAAGCAGCAAGATATAATATGCACAGGTACAAATTCCCTATGCTGAATATTATCATTATATATACTCAAAATGTACCAATAAAGAAAAGAAAATTCAACAAGTACAAAATAATATATTGTGAAATGTCTTCTTTTTAACCACCTCCACCCAGCACCTTGCTGTCTCCACAGGAGAATTAAGGCTGTTTCCTTCAATAATATTCTATGTACATATAGCACACTCAATAAATAGATATCTTTTCTTTAAAAAAAAAAAAAGTTCATAAAAGCCAGGGATGGTGGTGCACACCTGTAACCCCTGCACTCAAAAGGCTGAGGCAGGAAGATCTGGAAGCTATCCACGAGTTCAAGGTCAGCCTCAGATACATAGCAAGACCCTGTCTCAAAAAACAAAACAAAACAAACAAAAAATACCTTTTATGACCTTTATTTTATTGTTTGAGGAACTAAGACCATGTAATACACAAGCTTGTGAATTTTAAAAAAGTTTTCAGTATCTCACATTGGCAGTCCTAAAGGGTAATTCGAAGCTTGTACCACACATCTTTCTCCGTTGTAGGACATTTACTTGCATTCCTGAGGCAGAAAGAAAAGCTAAACATGGTGTTTGAGAAACAAGAGATTGCATGGTAGCACATGCCTGTAATCTCAGCACTCTGGCAGGGAGGAGGATCTCAAGTTCAAGCATAGGTAACTTATCATCTTGTCTCAAAAATATAAAGAGGGGCCAGGGATATAGCTCAGTGGCACAAATGCCTGCCTGGCAAGCACAAGGTCCAGAGTTCAATTCCCAGTAACCTTCCCCAAAAAAACAAAAAGATATATAAAGGGCTGGGGATTTGACTCAGCATGAAAGGCCCTGGTACCTGCACACACAGGGCATGGTCAACTCAAAAACTCCTGTGTAAAGTTATATAAATGCCTAATCAATGTAAGAGTGACATGCACAGCTCATATCACAATCAGGGTAGGAACTTTAGGACTACAATTCTATGAACCATGTTATTTATGGTTCTCTATTAATTGTTCATGCTGTCAACGCTTGCTGGTTTCTCTGCTTGGACTTCTCATCAGGGTGGTGCAAGGTTCCTCTAGTCAGTGCCCAACATTTTCCCTCTAGTAGCACTTATCACACTACCTGTTCTTTTGTGTTTCTGGTTCCTCCACTCTGTTCTAAACTCCTTGACAGCCGGGAGCACAACTTACAGGATTTTTATATTACTAAGCCTGGCAGTATTAAGATTTTAAATCTTGGTTTAAAGAAAAAACTGCATCAATGATGATACTTGGAAAGTGAACACCTAACATTGGAAAAATCAGGTATTTGTCAGCCAAAAAACAGCAGCGGAAAAATGTGTTTTGCGAAATGAGATATGTTAGGTCCCTCACATTGTACCCCACACAACTTGAAGAGAAAAACTCTGACAGATAATCAGTGTGTTCAAACAGAAAGCCCCTCACTCAGCTCGACAGACTGAAGTAAATCTGTTCATCAGGACAGCTCCCAGGCCTAGTTCTCAGGCTTACAGGAAACCTCATGAGTCTACAGAATGCCACGCTGTAAATCAGCAGCATGCCGATGTCCTCGTGCACTCCCTTCCCCAGAGGCACCAGAACCACCAATCACCCCTAAGAAACTTAATTTTTCACCTTCCTCAGTGGAATTTTACCCTCCCACACCTAAAATAGTCTATAAAGTAGGCCTCTTTCCTTTGTTCGGGCCCAACAGCTTTTTTGCCCTTGGCCAGGCTGCACCCAGTCGGAAATATATCGCTGTTTTCTTCAATCCTGGCTGTCCTAGTGGGATCGGCGGCTACTCCGGGTCTAGCCTAACAAGATAGTGCTATGTGACTGGAATGCACCCTTCAAATTAGTACGAGATAAGACTGAAGAGGGGTACAGGGAGATTTCCAGGGTGAAGTTCCAAGTCCTCACCTTAGCAGGCTATATCACGGAAGATGTTCCCCAGCTAGCTTTGAAGCCTCATCTCTGGCCACTCCAGTTCTCTTAGCTCTGACTACATACAATTATTTTCAATTTCCTAGAAACATCATCACAGCCTAGTCTTTCCCTGTGGTTTATCCATTTTGGGAACGATCTTCCATTTTCAGAACAGCTCAACTGCCACTTTCACAGGAGAGCACCTCCTGATCATCAGATTAATACAGGACCCTTCCTGCGCTAACCACTACCTGGGGTTGTCTTCTTAGCTATTGGGCCCCTCACTACAGTCTAGGAGAACTGAACTGGGCTTTTTCAACTTTTCATCTCCACTTCCTTCCTGGATAAGATACTGATAATGTTGGTTGTACTCCTGAAAAAGGAGGGCAGGCTCCATTTCTCACTGCGCGACATTCCTACCGTCTGAGACCCCCAGGACTCATTTTGCAGACTACGGATCTGGGTTCAAAGTGTGGTCAAATAGTTAAATAATTCGTTAGCTTCTCTTGCTGAATCTCTGCAGCCAATCGAGGCAGAAACCTGACCGGATTAGCCCTTGGCCCGCAGCCCGCACCGAGGCTTTGCAAACATTTCCAGACTGAGCTCCGGCTCGCAGGCCCCGCGTGCTCCACGCCTAGCAGCCAGCAAGGTCGGAGGCGGCTACCCCGTGCTGCGCACCGGACTTGCGGAAGATCTCTGACACCTTCGCGATCTGCTGAACGCCCAGGCCTTTACAGAGCGAGCGGCGGGGCCTGCGAGCTGGGGCCGGGCCGGGCCGGGCCGCCTCGCTCCGCGGACTACAGATCCTCAGGGCGCTGCACTAAGGCCCGCAAGAGGCGAACGAGGCTGCGCGGCCGGTCCGGGACGCCGCCCCGAGGCTCCGCTCCGCGCAGCGCTCTGGTCTGGGAAGCCGGAGTCGCCTCGGAACCGCCACGCCCACTCGGGCCGGACCCTCGAGCGCCCGGGCGCGCCGGCCGCGAAGGCCTCCAGAAGGTTCCACCCGCGCGGGCAGCCGGGCTCGGGCCCACCCACCCCCACCAGGCGCTCGGCGCAGCCCCGCCCGCTCCCAGCGCCCCCGCGCCGTTGCCCAGGTAACCGCGGGGGGGAGGCAGAGGCCGGAGGGGCGGGACTTCCGGCGAGTGACGCGCCAGGGCTCGGCTACAAAAGACGACGGCTGCGGCTACTGCACGGAACTTTCCAGAACGCGCTGAGCGGCGGCCGAGCGGCGGCTGCTCCACCGGCGCACGGCTCCGCGCCCCTCGCTGCCTTCCCCACTGCGGCCCAGCCCGCCC